GAAATTTGCAGATGTTTTGCCACCTGTTTTTCAGAATAAAGAATGCTGTACATTTTATGGTTACTTTACACTGTATTACTGGGTAATTAAGGCTACCCTCAATACGCTAAGATCGTAGTCAAAGGATCATGGGGTAGAAGTCACAGAATAGGGTAGAAGTAACCGTCAGTTGCCATTTACTTCTCCCTGTCTAATGGTAAAAAAAATCAAGTATACCTACATCGTTAGAGAAAACTGTTAATGTAAGCTGTTCTAAAAATTTCCAGGGCTGGAGGTTTCCTGGCAATCTGTTTCAGTGCTTTACCTTGATTAACCTTACTGACATTTTCCTATTGGTTAGCCTGAATCTCTCTAGCAGAAAATTAGTTTCTTTTTGATTATTTCTTTTGATTATATGGGCTAGCATAAGAGATGATGGTGTCCATTTACCTCTTTACAGAAGGCTATTCTGTCTCTCAACTCTGCATCAAAGAAACCCATACCAAGTCCTTTAATCTTTCCCCACTGGTCAAGTTTTCTAGACCTCTGATCTTTCTTGGTGTTTTCCTTAGAACTTTCCAGTGTGGCACAAATTTTCTTGCTGTGCAGTATCCATAATTGGACATAATATTTCAACTGAGGCCCTACTGGCCCTGAATGGAAAATAACTTCACATATTTAGCAGGCTATACTACTGTTTATTCACCTCAATGTGGTCTTTGCCCTTCTCACAGCAAGATGGCATTGTTGACTTCTATATAGCTTGTGATCCATTGCAACTCTCAGACCTTTCTCTGTAGAACTGTTATTGAGAGAACTGTTACCCATTCTGTAGATACATATTGATTATTTATATGTAATTGCAGAACCTAGCACTTATTCTTACTGAATTGCATCATATTTTCCAGACCAGGTCCATGTGAATTTGCCAAGTTCACTTCAGATTCTAAACCTGTCCTCCAAAATACTTGCAAACTCACACAGCTGTGTGCTGTATGCACTACTACGGATACTCTCTGTCTGAAGACATTCTAAACAAGATAGTAAAAAGCCTTTTGGAAGAAGAGAAGGAACTTAGATGTCCTCCTGACAGAATTTTAATGGTAGGGATATCTGTTTGTATACAGTTATTTGGACCACAGAATTGCTGTATGTTATGCTGGGTGCTGTTTGGCAACTCCCTACACTACTTTCCATGCTCATGCTCTTTAAATACCTAGCTAAAGTTCCTGAAATTAGTTCAGCACGACTTTTTGTGGATATGGACAGAATCCATGTTGAAACAAGAACCACAGCATTACTTCATCCACTAGGTACCACAGAAGCAGCATAGGTACATTGTATTGTAGAGAGTTTTCCAAGGCTATTCCTGCAACTTTCGGTATGTGTTTGTTCCTGTCTTTCTTATTACTATCATCTCCTCTCATTTGCTTTGTAATGGAAGCTATCTCCTGTTTCTGATAAACCTGCACTGCATTTAACACTTCATTTCCATATTGCCCATTCTACCTCTTTGAACAGTTCAGCTCAGCTCTGTCAACAGAATTACGATCTCCATTCAACCTCCCTTGCCAAGGGAGCTGAGAAGATAACCCATAAGCCTCTGGTGAGGGCATAGCAAAAGTGATTTTGAGAGAAGTGGAAAAAAGTAATCAGAGTAGACAAAAGACCAGTTTTCCAAGACATAATTCCGAAAAAGAAATGATCGGATCTTTAGACCAGAAGGTGGTGAAGCTTTTCAGGGCAGTGCTCTAGAAAATAGTAACAAGAACTGAAGCAGAGTTTCATGAAATGCGTCTGGAATTGGAAACCACCACACTTGGATGAACTAGAAATTCTGAGGAGCAGGACAAAAGAGAAAACAGTGCAGTAAAAGATGGCAGACCTAGTGCCACTAATATTCTTTACATATCACCCACCAGCCTATGGAAGAAGCAGAACATAAGAGGGAGGGACGACTAGGTTAATAGAAAATAATTTGTCATGAAAAGTATTATATGCAGTAGATTGGATGTAAATTTGGCTCAGGGTGAGAACTGGGACATTCTATTTGCAGTTCTTTCTGCATCATTTCAGCCATACTTGATTAAAGATGGAACCAAATAGGGGGAAAATGAAAACACACTACTATATGCTTTAAATATTTTAGCAGTTAGTCTGGAAAGATATTAAGAACCACATTCAGATATTAAGAACCACATTTAACAAACATTATCTAGAAATGCTACTCTTTTGTAACTTGATCATGTTAAAAGGGACAATGTATTTTAGAATATTAGTGTTACATGAAACTGTTTATGGATTTCACAGCTTTGTGTTCTGATTATGCCAATTTTCAGAAGACTGTTCTTTCCTAAACCAAAGGTGGTAACTAAATTGGTTCTCAATACTATTCATGTTCATTTCTGACCTTCTCTCAGAGTTTGTTTTGTATTTTAATTGTGTCCATTTCTAGGACACTGCTGGTTGGAGAAAACAGAGTCAAAAAAGAAAAGAGGTTAAATCATCTCAAATAGACAATGCCTGCATCCTCTTCCACCATTCTGCAAGTATCTCCTCTCTTATTTCTTTGAGAACTTTTCACCTAACTCATAGTCTGGCTGATCTGTGAGATCACTGGACCAAACAAACTTCCTGTGGTTGTCTACAATAGAATCATGGAATCATAGAATCGTTTTGGTTGGAAAAGACCTTAAGATCATCAAGTCCAACCGCTAACCTAGCACTGCCAAGTCCCCCACTGAACCACATCCCTAAGCACCACATCTACGCATGTTTTAAATGCCTCCAGTGATGATGACTCAACCACTTGCCTGGGCAGCCCGTTCCAGTGCTTGACGACCCTTTTGGTGAAGAAATTTTTCCAGTATTTTCCTAATACAATATTCTGCCAATAGTTAGTTAATGACCTGAGATAATCTAGGTTAGTCATTTTGCAGAGGGGAACTGTCATCCGTTCCTGATGATGATCATCACTGAACTGATATGGTCTCCCCCACTCACATGTTTTAATGCCAAAAAGATTCTTATAGAGGTCTGTGACAAATGCTCAAGATGAAATGCTCTATGTATTTCTGATGTACGTGGTCCTGTAGTTCCTGTATTACTCTGTGCTAAGTATCCCATAACAGAAATTCAGAATCTGCTTTTAAAATGTCATCCATCCTTTCCAAAGGACTGTTCTGTGACAGAAGCACTTCAGTTATAGACAAAAGTAACTTCCTCAAGTTGCTGGTCCCTGGCTTATGATCAGCCGGAAACACCAAATTGCAGAGCAAGCTTTTGCAAAACTGTCTCCAATAATTTACTAGTTGGTTAGACATTCCAATACAGGTTTTTGAAAAGCACAGAGAAATTCTCCTACTTGGTTAAACTAAAAATTAATTTCCAGAGCAGTTCTAGTCACTAAGATTAATTGTTAAAAGATTAACAGGCTAACGGTAAAGCCAAAATTGACAAAAGTACACGGACCATGGAAGACACACAGCTCTAGATCATATGAAGGCTAGCTTCATTAACAGCTGCCAATACATACTTCTGACAACAACTGGACGAGTAAAACATATCCTTAGAAGCACCATTAATTGTTAGGAGTTTGTTAAGGCACAGCTCAAAGCCCTCTGAGAAGAATACATGTTTCTGTTACATAAGTTCCTGTATATGAATTTTTGTTTGTTTCTTTTCTGTGTTCATTGGATAATGTCTACTCTCTCACCTTTCCTTCTTGCTTTACCAGGTCATCAGGTGGTGGAGGGCCTATTTTGCTATGGCTTCCTTTTTTAGATGGCAGAGATTTTCCTGATTTTTGTTTGACGGACTTATCTTTTTTCTCTGAAGCTGATGTAACCGGAGAAATTACGGTCGGAGTATGAACAGAAGGGATGTTCAGAATTCTTGCTAAGACAGGATCTGTTTCATCATCTAAGGAAGGCAAAAGCAATATTTTTAATGTAATTAAGTTTCATAAATGTAGATGGCCACATTTTCTTTTTAACAAGATTTTGTACACTAAATTTTACCTTTGAAATAATAACCTTGGTGGGAGAGTTTATTATTTCAGATAGAGTGACTGAATATAGGAAAATATTTAGAAAATCTTTCCATAGACTGACTACTCATCAGCCTAAAAGGCATCTTGCTTCCCATAGGTCATCACTTGTCTCTCAAAAATGGAAAATACAATTTTTAAAATTCTATTTTACCTCCAGAACACTTAGATAGGTGGAGACGTTTTGAGTTTAGTATCTAGGAAATGATCACTGTTGGTACGCTTTATCATGGGCTGATCTAGCACAGACCAACTCCAGCAGTTTTGCACTACATAGCTCTATTTTGCTATGAGTCAGAAAGATTCTGATCATCTAGACTTGCTGAGACTCTCCCAATTCTTAAAGTCCAAGCATTAGGGCAGCCTGCTAAGCATGTTAACAGGAAGTAGTCATGTTGCCTTCCAAAACAGTTTCTTGAAAATAAAATTAATACAAATTAAGATTTTCTGTAAAACATTTTTGTTTCAATGAACTGACATTTCTCTCTAATCAGAAAAACTCAGTCAGCTCTAACCCTAACATTTTTTGGAAAGATTTTTATTAAGCATCTTTTCTTGCTTGAAGTCCCAAACCTACAATTCATGAAGTAGCACCTTGTTTCCCATCCAGACAATTTAAGCAATTGAATTATTGTTTTGGAGAACTTGTTACCCCAGATGGAGCAACTTACTATCCACACCTTAACCACACCCATACAGATAAGAACTGAAAACACCAGTGAGAAAACGTGATGATCTCAGAAACCATCTTTTGAAAAGGTTTTTTTAAATAAATAAAGGAAGCTTGATTTCCTTAGTAGTTTCTAAAAAGTATGAAGTTTTATGGCAAGTCAGTCATTTCAAGAATATCTTCAGGAAGATTTCAAAATATATTTTTTTTTTTGCAAAATTACATTTTATTTCTGCTTATTCCAATGAACAATATTATTTAATGTGAAAACGGATAAATCAGGCAAAGAAAGTTAAATAAGTCATTGACAAATTGCAAGCCAGATCACATTCAGACAAAGGAGGAAAGAAGTGCATCTGGAAGCATGCTAATAAAACCACTCTGGTGTGAGATCATAGCATTTTTTGTAATGCAGATGAAGTGTTAGTATGTTTTTGGCTGAAAAAGATAAAAGCTAGGCCTAAGTGCTACTACGTCCATTGTTTCCAGAAAGGTTTTGTCATAGATGGTTTTAGCTCTGCAGATAAGTAAATGCAGAGGCCACCTTAAAAATAAAGTTCTAAACTACTAGAAAGGTTGTCTGTATGGTCATTTGCCTTGTGGATGATTCTGGATTTACGGAAACTGCAAAGGTGACCCAAAAGTTAAGAATCTAAGTCTAGAAGAAACTTGATTATTAGATCATCTGGTGATAAAGTCCTGTTCATGGAAAACAAGCCTTCCATCTCAGTTTTTAAGCCTTCAATCTCAGTTTTTGTCTTGGTGTCAGCATTAGGGAAATGCACAGATATCTGAATATATACATGACCTTTAGCCTGACAGGGAAATTCAGATCACCAAAAAGATTTTTGAAATCCCCATTTTCATTAGCTGATGCATGGCTGATGCATGAAAATCTGATGCTTTGCTAGGTGGCTCTGCTTTCATGTACTGAAATTTATGCTGTGTGGCTTTTACAGCTTATTGGAAGTGTGAGGAAAGGCAAACAAATCTGTTTTATTTGTAATATGTTAGAGATAAATTCTCAGCTAATTATATAAGATAGGAAATTTTAAAATTCTCCATGGGGTCCATTCTGATACACATTTATTAGACAGCATAGCCATGGAATAAACAAGTAACAATAACCATCTCCAAGCGGATGGTGAGAAGAAACAGCTTACCAATAAACTTTGACAGATCTAGTGCTCCACAGAGAAGGAGGATAGCCAAAATGAAGCATTCTGAGGCAAATGCCCCATAAAATCATTAGTAAATGTAATCCATCTTGTCAGGTGTGTATAAATATCCATGTGAACGCTGCAAACTAGGTACAAGCAAGTTCTTATATATAGTGAGGGGTGCTATCCTTCACAGCTACCCATGCTGTGAAGCGGAGCATGCTCAGTTTCAGATGACACTACTTTCCAGACGTTTTGAAATGTGCTGAATTTAGGAATAGAAGCTGTAATAGGCTCTTGACCCCTAAGGAAATTTCACCTACCCCTGTACTCTGGTTGCCCTGAAAAATCAGAACATAGTGTCTGAGGGTAACAATGAAAAAGAGTAGATTGTTGAGACTGAGGGAAAGTGTCTTTAGAAATCTTGAGAGAGATGTGAAATTCCAGAGGACTGTCAGATTAAGGAAGGTTTCCTTCCTCCTGCACACACATAGAGAGCTCTAGCACTTTGAGTTGTACACTCATGATTTCATCAAAGGCAGAAAGAGCAAGTGCAAAGGTTCTATAATACCCAGGGGTAAAAGCCCCGCAGGTGCTCAAGCAGTGCCAGATTTACAAAGTGATGAGGAGCTTACTTCTAAGCCTGGTTGGTGGTTGCAAGCTAGATTTCGGTCATGCTAGAGAAAACAAATAATAATTCAAAATTTAAATTAATACTAACATTTAACCAAGAAATAAAAAAGATGTATAAAGCTGGCAAACAGTCTGAGGCCTTTTGTCATGTGAGCTTCCCTAAAAGGAAAAGGGAAGAGATAAAATGAGAAAAACAGTAAGAAAAATTAGGAAAAACAATAAGCAAAATGAAAAAAAAATATGAAAAATGAGATTTAGAGAGGTTCCAGAAAATTATTTCAGTAATGCAAAGAAAATGAGTGATTTGCACCCAATTTGACCAATCAGTGGAGAGAAACCGTGGATTACATGGCATACTGTTCTACATTAGGGATGGATGGCATATGAGAATAGTCTAAGCCAGAATATTTCTGGTCAGAATTTTTCTGAGCGCTTACGATACAAACACCCACATGGGGAATTAGCCATAAGTAAGTGATTGTAGAAAAACTGCAAACAATCAAAGAATGTCAGTCAGCAGTACTGGACTAAAGCTCAATGTGGCAAGGATTATTCTAATGTAGAATAGGATGCTTACAGTAGATGTGAAAAAGCGTGAACATCATAGCTCTCATGTAGGTGTTTAATTAGACATGTCTCTCTTTTATGCCAAAGTACAAGTTTCCACAGTCCACTACATTGTGGATGCTCTCTTGGCCCAAGTTTAAAGAGTCTTTTTTTAGTAATTAATTTGCAAAATGTATTTGAATAATTAAAACCAAATATATAGTTTAATGGTTTACCACAGTCCACACAAAGATGCATTCAATTAAATGTTTTCATATTTTAAGAGCTGAAAAATGCTGGGATTATTTTCTGATCAGAGGAGGGTTTCACTTTTATCCGTATGATGGTTTCAGTGGCCTTTTAAACGTAATGGAAACAAAAAGCTCTTGGTAAAAGCAGACGCTATTTCCACTGTGGTTTTGTGAAGCAATTGCTTCCAGTTGGTGACTGTGTTTATTGAAAGGCTGAGAGAAATCCCTCATTATGTCTGCACAACCATAACCTAAAGTCCAACTCCTAACATAAAATGAAAGTTCCATAATCACCTATATAAGTTTATAAAAATATTATTTCTTGGAAAACCAAGAAGACTCCTCAGCAAATCACATTTTCTTTGGCTCAAATTAATTGGCTGATTTTGCTGGGCTACTTAATAACAACACTTGCAAGTTTTCTCCCTGCACTGCTCTGTTTTCACAGTAAGTTAAAAAGCATGGAGACCTCCCTCCATTTTGAAATCTGAATCACAGAATATTCTTGACAATGTAATCTCATCTCAAGCCTTGCTGAAAATTCCCCACCATGTAGTAACAACTGCTGAGAAAGGCAGAATTGCATGCAACAAATTATTGGGTTAAGGAGTGTATGAAGGAAAAAAAAAAAGTAAAAAAAGAAAAAATCCCGAATTCCCCCTATGGTTCTCAAATATCCTCTTCTATTTGCTTACTTTACCTGCTGTCTTCCCTGTAGGTCCGTAATAGCTCAGGGACAGCTGTATTCCATTTTCCAAGGTGGCTGAAAAAGATCCAAACTTGCTCACAGCTTTCTTTTGATTTTTCAATTTTCCTTTAAAAAAAAAAGAATGAATTTTAAAGATAGCAACACATACCAGAAACACCTGACCTGCAAACCAATGACTGATGTGAACAATGGCACCTCAATGTAGATGACTAACCTGTAAGATTAATATAGGACAAGGAAAACTTCGTCTTTCCACTCATAGGGTAGTATATAATAGTCAGTTTTGTGTAATATAGCTGTGATTTTTCATCTAGAAATTGCAGTCTAATTAGCTAGGTGCATAAAAACAGGTTTAATAGTAACAACTAGTGAAAAGTCTTTGTGAATTTAAACAGCAAAAGAACCTAGTTCTGGAGTCAGGGATCCTTGTTTCTGTTCCTTACTTGGCTGATAAGACTGCTAAACTGTTCATTTCTATCACATGTGACCTATGCAGTAATAAAAGTCACTGTCTCTCAGGTATTGTCACGGGGACCGTACCTTGAGGAGAAAGTAAAAGAAAGGAGGAAAAGTTCAGAAATAAGATCGAAAAATATGTCTGGCATTTGTGAAAGTGGATCAGGAGACAAACTCAGAGGTGCAGGACAAGATGTCATGTGAGGAGTACTTGATCCTTGAAAACCACACGAACTATGCAAGGTAACACCTCCGAGGCAGTGACACTGGATCCTACCTTGCCTCTAGTTCAACTCCTACTGCTTTAAAGAAAGGTTCTGCTAGTAAGAGGTAATCGTTGGGATTTCCAATATGGAAAACAGCTTCTTAAAACTGTGAGGAGCAGCAGAGTAGACAACAAAATAAGGTTAAGGCACTCACCCAACACCTACTCATCTCCCAGTTCTTTGATCAACAAGGCACACCTGCTGAGATCTCATGTGCTCGTATTTACTGTCTCCTATTTATTTTTAATTTTATTTATTGCCATGTTCCTTGATGACTATCACCTGCAGGACGCTGTTTTGCCATTTTGACTGCATTAAATCCTTACCATTGTAGCATTTGGCCACCAAGTATCAGAGTGGATTGATTCTTCTCTTCCCTACTGCCTTCCTATAAGGTCCCCCTGTTTACACAGGAGGAAAGCCTCTCACTTGTGCCAAGTGAATACAACTTGCCTCAGATGCTAGCATACTGGTGACTGAAAGTACTATTTGGCAGACCCCAGAATGATACAGGACTACTTTCAGAAAGGCAGACAAGAAACATCTGTGGAAGGGCTGCAAATTTTCTATTCAGATAACCTACAATTACATCACTGGTAGCAGTTGAAGCCAAATAGAGGAGCAGGATGCTTTCTAACACTGATGAAGATTAAAAGAGCTAACACACCTACCAAAAGTTGTACTTTTCCAACGCTCTTCAGTTCTGTGAAAGCAATTCCATAGTGCTTTTGGCAAACATATACACAAATTGTTACAGACTGGCCTCCTTCTTGGAAAGACTCTCACCTGGGTTCAGAAAGGATTTGGATTCAATGCTTTCTGAGTGTTAGCAACATGTCAACCAGAAGTAGAAGTTGCTGAACTGCAGAAAGATCTGTTTCCACAGCAAACGTCTTGAGGAGGCACTAATGCTATGGTCATTTGACGCACAAAAGGAGGTCCAGTTCAAAGGGGGAAATCTGTCTTTTTAAGGGCAGACATTTATTCTGGTAACAATGGACATGATTCAGTTTGCATCTTCTTAGGCCTTCCCAGGCCACATTAAGATCTGGAGTCCTCCACTAAAGAAGAAAATTCTTTTTTTTAAGGAAAAAAAATCATTCTTTGATTTCCATTTGAATCAATCATTCATTGATTTCCATTGATTTGGTGCCTAAGTTGGCCAACTGGATTTTTACTTGTATGTACAGAACACTGATCTTTTTCACCATCTGCCATTAGTAGGATTTTATTTTCTGTTAGTTGCATCCAAATGCAAATATGTCAAACTATTAATTCTTTATACCAGCGATGTCAATTACTAACCTGATCTAATTTTCTGTTCTTCATTAATTTCTTGCACTTCGATTTCTTTTAAGTTTTTCTTGGGGTCTGTGATATGAATGAAGAAATTGTGGTTGTCTTTTATCACTTTCACCTTTACCAAAGTTAGACCTGCAAAGCAATGGAATATTATCATTGCTCCCAACAGGCTTCAGAACTGCCCCGCACCCAAAAAACCCCACACCTGAAACTATAAAGCACATAAAAAAAAAATTGCTCTGAAGTGGACTGAATTGCTTAGTCGTAGACCAAGAAGACAAAATTGAGGTTAGCTGAGTTTAGACTAAATGTTCAAAAACTTCCTGACAATTAGATCTGAGAGGCTGCAGAATAATAACCCTGTTGCTTATATGTATTGCATTTGACTGGACAAATTATTAGAACATGCATTCTTGGAATACCATGCATTGGTTGCTATTGAACAGATAAATATGAACTGATTTTTCTCCGTTTCTAATTTTCTGGTGCTTTATTTATCTATCAATTGTTAATATACTACAGGAAAATGTAAACATTAGTAGTGACAGAGGCTAATACGGAATTATATGGTACTCTCACAATGTCTTTAACTGAATATCTACTACTGACACATGAAAAAGCATTTATGGATTAAGAAACTATGCCATGAGTTAGTGACTGAGTCAAAGCCAAGCATAAAGAATTAAAGAATCACCTTTTACAAACTCTATCTTCTCTACTTGAATCTGTCCTCCATCAGATGGGAAAAGATATTTATTGGTCCCTGATACTTGAATGACATCCTCCCCTGTATTGTAGCCAAGAAACTGGAAAAACAAGTTTTAGATTACGTATAATGAGAAAGGCAGAAGCCATAAAAGAGGCAAATGAAGGACAGATCCTCAGGATCCCCCTGTTCTCATCAACATTTTTTGCTTAGATATTTAACTAATGTAATAACAACTTTACTAAATACATAGCATGTTATTCTCATATCAAATAATTTCTCAGTTACTAACTGAAGTAACTTGTTACTCATGAGAGCAGAAACTGGTCCTTCAGTGGTATGGAGCCATCATGGAAACTGAAGAGTAGCAAGTAGCCTGTTGACTTAACATATAATGGGAAGGAAAGAAAAATTCTGCCCAAGTAAAAAGGGAGAAAGTACAATGCCATGGGATCAGATAAGGGTTGGTAAAGGTTCAGCTTTCCACCCTCCAGATTTTGGAATTCAGACATTGTAAATCTGATTCTTAGATTGCTGTGCCTTCCAAAGAGCCACAAATTGGCAAAAATTAGCTGAGTGTACTCAAGTAAGCTCAGACTGAAATGTAACATATCTCAGAGTTTGAATTCAAGCAAGTTTAGGCTAAAATATATTGACCTATGCAAGTTTTGGATGCAAAGCTTAGACTCTACAAATATAAAGCAGTGCAAACTGCCTAAACACTGTTTGGACACAACTAATGAAGAATTCCCTCTATAAGAAATATCCCTCCGTTAGGTACAACAGACAGAATAGCTTGTATTAGGGCACTCCAAGAACATGAATTTTGAAACAGGAAATTGAAGAAACAGTGAACTCCTTTTACTTGATTTCCAATGCGGACAGCCAAAACTTCAACTAGGTCTAGCAGTCCCCAAATATGGGAGTTGGAACAGGTCTTCATGTGCCCTTTTCCTATTCTATCCCATGAAAATGACATTTTTAGGCAAAATTCATCCCATAAATATATTTTCCACGGGAACAAAACCATGATCAACTTATCTTTGTGTTCATGTCATACACACTAAAAACCATCCAAGTTAATTAAATAGTCAGGTGTAGGATAATCTTAAACATTAGAAACTGCTTTCCAAAACTTTTAGGAAAGGATTTGCTGCTAAAATGATGGAGTTAAACAAGCCCTAGTTAGGCTTAATTTGCCCTAAACTCCAGTTTCACAATGGATAATAGCTTTGCTGTAATCTTGCCTCTCTATATAAATAGTTAGCACTTCCCTTACATGGTGCAATAATATGACTCCTTACCTTATAAACCTTCTCAGGATGTGGTTCTGGGATGCTGGGATCCTCCTTAAGTTCAGGGGCTTGTGCTGGCTCATCTTTAAACTTCTCTTTGGAAGATTTCTTGTTGATACCTTTACTTTCTTCTTGTATTATTATCTCCTGTCCTTTCTTTTTACCTCCTGAATTTTCTTTTTTTCTTTTTTTTTCTTCCTTAAGTTGTTCTTCCTCTAGTAATCGGTCCTGCTCCTCCTTCCAAGCCTACATTAAATGTTAGGAATTCAAATGATTGTGGTTCTCTTTGTATTACAAGATATTTCATACGTGCATGCTGAAAAGAGTACAAGTAAACAAACTTAAAGCAACCAATGTTCTAAGTCACTCACATGTTTTCTGAATGTGTCTACAGTTTTATATTAGTACACACTATATTTTGCCTAAAATTACTGACTAATTCAATCCACAAGATCAGTCATTCTTGACCACAGGAGACGTATCAGACAACTATTTGTATCTTACACATTCAGTCATAAGAGTTATTTTGTTGTGCACTTTTCCACAACGTTTATCACCAAATCAGAATGCATCACTGATATTGGTTTATTCCCAAAATGCGACTGTAAGATAAAATGCTTTTATTCTGTTACTGAAAGAGGAATGAGGTATCAATGTCAGAATTACCAGCTTGTATCAGGAAGACATCAGAGATTTTCCAGAGTATTTAGGGCTTTGTAGCATTTTATATTCTAAGCAAACCAAAGCACAAGCATTTCTGTGGAAGAAATGGTAAGCACTCACAGTTTCAAGTTAGTCATTAGCCTAACTTGAGCCATGACAAGCTCAAGTTGAGTACCCAGGAATTGGTTAACATGATTTCATATCTACATTCCAATATCAGTACAGATTCTCTGTCATAAGGGAACTCTGAGGTACCATATTTACATTTCCTTAATTTCAAAGAGATGTAGATAGTGAAAGTAGGAGCTGGGTACATAAGTACTTCCATGAATCTGGATCTTATGTTTTCATAGCCTTATAACCAGATAACTTCAACAAGTAGGATATTATCCATAACTCTCATTTCCTAGTGTGGTGGGTTGACCCTGTCTGAGGGC